TCTTTCACAGCGAAATTTTGATGCACTTGCTTAAACCGAATGAATCAAAAATTGTTGATGAGCGGTAGCAGGAACAAGCTAACGCAAGTGCATAGGAAAATTTCGCTATCTTTCAGCAAAACAAAACAAAGACGAGACCGATTTTTGTGAAATTCTAGATTTTATTGCGGCTATTTCCAGAACAATCGTTTCTTGTGCCCCAAGTGGTGGACCGCAACATAAAGAAGTAGAATAGCATCACGGATTTTTCCTAGATGCTTGTTTCAAAGTATGTACTCGTTTGCAATTTGTTTTTGAAAAGTTTTTCGTGCATCAAACATCTTTACCTTTCATTCACTTCTTATTGAGTGAAAGAAGATTTTAAACATTTTCTGATATTTAGCTTTGCCTCGCGCTTGTCCAAAACCAGAAATCTTAGATTTCTCAAAGCGGAAAAAACTAATCATTGCTTCATTGTATGCGAACCTCGCGCTATCAAACAGAGATGATTTTTGAATATTTTTGTATGTTTTACGAATCACCATGGATCGAAAAAAATTGCGAAAGCTTTGCGAATTAATGTGGATTTCTTGCTTGGTGTAACACACTGACAAAAATCTCCTTGTAGGCTATGAAAGGAATTTGATAAAGCTATTGTAAAGCTTTTGTAGCTACAACAGTTTTCCCAAATGACTATGAAGCATGGACCTTCCTTTTCATACTCAAGTTTTAGAGCGATTTTTGCAGATGCAAATCCTCGCTCCAGATGGATCAGATACACTGCCAGTTCCGAGAATATATGGTTTTTAAAGAGCAGAATTGCAGAAATCTAATTAAATTGGCTCATCCGTTTACCTTATTTATGGGGCACGGTGTCATTTGCTATGCCTAAGTCAAACGAATTTCCAAGCGAGCTTGCATGACAAGATATCGTAATCGTAACCTCGGCGTCCACAATTAGCAAGTGCTACGTCCCACAAATTTGGTGGAAAGCTTTTATTTTAATTATAAATATTAAGGTGTCCCACGAATTTTTACCGCTTCTGATTTCTCCCGCAATAACTCATACTCTTTTTTTCTCTTGAATTGGCTTTGCGGTAATATCGACAAAGCAAAGCAAGATTTACGTAATGACACCCAAACATTCATCCAAATTTGTTCTACCCAGAGTTCCAACTTTAAATCCACGAGGATTTAAACGCCAATGTCGAGAAAAAATTGTCACACTGTTCAAAATCAGGCATTTACTCTCTACATCGATAACTACAGTGCTGGGCAATTTTATAGGTCCACTCATGAAAATGCCATAATTCACTCTATTGTCGATGAAATGGTCTAGATATTGATACAGCCGTGTGTTTACCAGCCTACTATCAGTCTTTAAATGGGTCTCGTTTGGTTATTCAAGAAAAATTGAAATTTTTGGAAAAAGCAGGCTTGACTGGTCAAAATTATTGGTCCACCTGGAGTTTTTACTTATCGAGGCACTTCCTAGCTTCCGATTTTATTCCGATTCCGGTGGTGCACATTCGAAAGTGTCAATCGGCTGCTTTAGTCAAGCTGTGTCGTACCTCCACAAGAACCCATTATCTGCTTTTTTGCCTTGGATATGCTTTGACATATAATTCGCTCCAGAAACCTGCCTTAAGTAAGACATCTTGCAGTTTCTTAGCTGGATCAAAAGCGAGGGGGTTCCGTCTAACTTTAAGATGCTTTTTGACGTGGGCAATGAAATAAAAATTTGACATTCTGCTGCTGAAGCAAATCCGATCTTGACCCTATCGGAAGCCTAATTCTCAATTTCCATTAAATCTTATGTGCGTCATCATTGTTATTTCAATAATAGAAGCATTTTCTGCACAAGAGCAAATCTTAACGCCGCTTTTCATAAGTGTTTACAAAGCTGCCCTTTGCTTTTTTTTGAAACACGACTTGTGCACCGTAATGATGGTGTTACCACTTCCAGAATATCTTGCCAAGTGTTTCCTCCTCTAAATTTTCAGTAATCATCCACTAGATAGTGAAAACAGCTTTTATTGTGTGTTAACACATGATTCTCCTAAAAAGTTTGGTCAGAGCAAGAGTTAGCTTTGGTATTTGTAGCAACTAATTTCTGCAGAGTGATATTCGCAATTATACCTAAATGCGAGGATCTCCAGAAAGTTGTAACCATGAAATACGGACTCCACTTCGTACAAACAATGCCCTTACATTATCGCAATGCCTCTAAGGGCATTGCAGAAGAATTTTAAAGGCAAAAACTTGAGCTCACAGTTGCAGTAATGTCAACTTTGGATTTGCTTCAAGAGCAAAAAGTCAAATTTTTCCTTTATGCTTTTTCCAAAAATTTTGATTTTTCTAGAATAACCAAACGAAAACAAGACCGGTTTTGATGACTGATAGTAGGCTGATAAACATACGCCTATACCAATTTCTGGAACAGTTCATTAAAAACAGAGTGAGTTATGGCATTTTTTTAAAGTGAACCCATAATTTTGTCCAGCACTGTATCTCTTAATCTGCTGATTTTTTTGCAATGCTAAAACTCAAGAAACATACATACACCAAAATAGGCTGAACATACAAAAAAGTGTCTCTTACGGGATTTTTGCGCTAAATTTGGAACTTTTCAAAAACTGTTGCCTGTAAACGGCCAAAAAATCAACCGTAGAATAACATGTGGGGACAGTCCAGACAGCTTTGGCAAAAACGTAAGCATTAATTCTTCCTCCATTTCTAACCATGTAAAAATTAGCAAATCTAGAATATATACCTGACGTAGAGAGTACATAACTGAACGAGTGGAAAGTTTATAGCAATTTTTTGAGCGGTGTTACGGTTTTTTTAAACATTTCCAACGTTTAGATCTTCTTAAATTTCGGCTTCGAAATTCATGTACAACAGAATTCGAGCACATGTTTGAGTGCTATCTTCTAGAGCATGCATTGCTCTGTCGAATGTTGAGGCAGAACCTATTTAAGAAACAAGAAGAGCATGACTTGCTGTGGGAGAAAGCAAAAACGGTAAAAAATTATAAAAAAAATTATATGGCACTTTGAAATGTTATCAGCCCTATATCTTGTTCACAATTGCGAGAAACTCGCATGCATCTCGTTCTCCTAGTTTAGAAGTCCACCTAAGAGGTGACTGCGTATAAATGATTGTTTAATTTGCTAAACTAGCATATATGTTGGTTAAGAGAGCCCATTCCACTGCCTATTGAAACTTTTGAGCTTACCAAAAGCAGAAAGATTTTGAGAGAAAACAGCTACAGCTTTTATCGCCTCATTCTCATCAATCAAAAGAACCAGTGAAAACCAGTGTCGAGATGCAGCATTCTTGGATAGCTCAGCAAGATTTTTGGTACGCAGCTGCCATCAAAGTGTAAATAAAAGTTTTTTGGGTACTTTTCCGTTATCCGGACCCATTTTTCCAAAAGGCTCTCACAACACACGTTCTTTAGTCTAAGAATAATTTTTTGTAGATTCTACGAAGGCTGCCTCTCCGCCACGTGTCAGGAGAAATTTGACACTTTTAGCCCATTTTGACTTGTTTTTTCCAAATCATTTCCGATGAGGTAAATAAGCGTTTGTGACCATCTAAAAGCCTTTCAACTGTTTTCAAAGCAAAACTGTTTAGATCAGCAATAAATTAAAACTTGTCTTCCTCTTCAAACTTTCCGCCATGCGACTTAGGGCCGCATGCACTAACCTCCCCGCGGGGAGGGGATCGCAGCTTAAAAGAAAGCTTTATATTTCGAAACTCCAGATACCTGGATTTCACTTTGTGTACCTATCCGTAAGTATTCCTACTACCCTTTACTATGAACATGTTGAAGAGGAGCGAGAAGCTGTACGAACCGCATTTTCCAGCTTTTGTATGATCCCTGATGATCCCTGGCGCTTTTCTTTAAAGTCATTTTTCTTTCTCCGAAATTAACGAAGAATCTCCAGAGTTATGCAGATTGTCTAACCCGACAGTGCTAAGCATGTTGCTGATGAGAACAAATGAGTTTCTGAAAAGTCGAATTTTTCGGTAAACCTCAAATTTCGACCTGTGGATCATCGAAAATTTCATGACTTCAAAACATCATTTGTTCTTATCAGCAACATGCTTAGCACTGTTGTGTTCGATGTTCGGTACAGCTTTGGAAAGTTTTCGTTAACTTCGGAGAAAGAAAAATTTTAAAGAAAAGCGCCGGGGATCATCAGGGATCATACAAAAGCTAGAAAATGCGGTTCGTACAGCTTCTCGCTCCTCTTCAACATGTTCATAGTAAAGGGTAGTAGGAATACTTACGGATAGGTACACAACGTGAAATCCAGGTTTCTGGAGTTTCGAAATATAAAGCTTTCTTTTAAGCTGCGATCCCCTCCCCGCAGGGAGGTTAGTGCATGCGGCCCTTAGTCAGGAAAGACTATAAATGATGGCTTGCGGTTTCGCTGCTGCTTGTTTCGCCGCTTGGATAATGGAATCCTAGCACACTTCTCCATTCTGGGCTAATCTAATCTGTTCACTGATAAGAGGATGGCGTTAATATTATAACAGTGTTCATTTCTGAAATCCTTCATATAAAATTGGGGACACTATTGACTTGAATACAGACTGAATTTACGTTACTAGGCAGTGCAAAAACAAAACCCTGGTAAAACCTGTTGAACATGTAGATGACATGTCAATTTTTTTAAACACGTGCCAGAAGGTTGACCCTCCTTCCTGTGAATTTGGGACCAACTATGGTACAGGAAAAAAAGCAATATCCTTTTTTCGAAAGAATGGGTCCGGATAACGGAAAAGTACCGTTTTTTGTTTGTTTTGCGCAAGTTTTTCTCTATCTGCTATCAAACAAACATACGATTTTGATTACAACAAATAAAATACACATAAGAGCCATTAGCATGCGCGCTGCAGGGAAAATCTGCATTTATATCATGGCCTTGTGGGGTTCAATCAAAGTTTTGATAACAATTTATTGTCCGTTTTTATGAAATCGAAAAGAAGAAAACAGCCGCGATTCCGCAAAACATCTCTCATATATGACAATGCAGTGCTTAAAAGATCCACCAGAATTAGAAGCTGTTATTATGAAACTGCTCCTTATCCTGCTGCTTCTCAGCATCTTCGCGATCACAACATGTGACGAAGAAGTCAACAAGAGTTTCTGCGGGTTGTGCGGGCACTTCGGATTGCAAAAGATTGACTTCAAGGTATGTTTACTGTACGACATCTTCTTTTATCATTGGTAGATACTGCTACATCAAAGGCAGTAGAGGAAAGGTGCGAGAGGGTGGAACACGAAATAAGCCTCAGCGTAAAAGAATCTTGTGCAGCACTCAAAAAACTTAGCAAAGAGACCAGGGAAGCTATGAAAGAGGTAAGCAGATTGTTTTTTTATTTCACTTGCACTCTACAGTAACGATACAAGAAGCTGGAGAAGCTCACATGGTATCAAGCCTGCACCAAGATCTGCAAGCACAGAATTTGTATTCTTCCAAAGAAGATACTCCGACGCCGCCGGGGCCGAATAGATAAAGAAGTTATGAGAATTTGAGATGCAGAACTTATATACGCACACTTTCAAAATAATATTAAAAATTTAAGATGGTGGAGAGCACATAAAAAAGCAACATTTTTCAGCATACATCAAAACTGTAAGTGCTCTATTGTGGAAAATACGGATACAGAGAAAGAGTAAAGCGGGTGGGGGAAAAGGGGGTGAGCTGAAATGGGCTGAAAGTGATGAACAACAACAATTGTGCGAACGATAGACTGATTTAGCTGTTAATGACTGTGTAATTCCGATTTTGTTGATTCTGAGCGACAGATGCGAGGAAAATCTTGAAAATCTTTGACGAAGTTTCGCAGTGCATTCTCTTTCATTTGCTATGCCTTCTTCGACTGCCAGTACTTTACAAGTAACATTCACAGATTATGGAGCACTTGCTCATCCTAAAACTATCGTTTTCAGAAAAAAGTGCTTGTTAAGAGGCAGTTGGTATGAAAGCAAATACTGAGATGGAAAAAATCGCAGTTTTTTGAGTACTTGTAGCTCTTCCTCAGAGTTGAACTGAAGGAACGAGAAGTTAATATTTACAGCAAGCCCGTCCGTCCGCTGACTGCGGGAGTTCCGCCCCCACTCTTAGTGCTACCAACATTGCTGTATGGTTTTGTAAAAAAAAGTGTGAAAATTGAAATTTCTGGAAATATTGGCACTAGTGATTGCCGTGCTTATCTATGTACGCCCACTGATCAATCTTGAGCGAAGGAAATGCTTACACGGAAAAGCTATTTTTATCAACGTTTCTCCGGCCTTACCCCTCTGATTCATCATGTACCACATTTGATTACAGAAGTTTTCGGGAGGCAGAAGGAGAAGAAAAAACTGATAAGGTCTGCGAAAAAGTCTTAGCTTATCAAGTATTATGCAAAAGTAAGTATATCGCGAATCTAAACGACTAGATTGTATCGTTCATTGACAAAATATAGACAACGTCTTTACACAATCTAGTGATTCAAGAACACGTCTTGGATAAAACTGCGATCCCTTGTCTTGAAAACTGTTCCAAAATTTACTGTTGAAATAGAAAAAAAGACATTTAATAGCGAAACTGTCCCCTGTATAGAAATTGAGATGATTTTGTGTTCTCCGCAGTGCTGACCTTATATCCCACAAGGAATCGCAAAGGAATCAAAATAATCTGACCTCACCGAAAATGAGAAATGATTAATGTGCTTGTCTTATTGTTAGAGAGGAAGTTTCTGATGATATAGCTCTACAGTCCCCACTATTATTTGCAAAGAATATATAGTTTTGTTGGAAATTTCTGACCTAAGTTTCGTTACTTAAGCAAAAGTTTGCAGAACCTTGCTTTTGCAAATAGAGGAGGCTATATTTGGAGAACCAACCAAGCCGCATAAAGCTTCGTCTTTAATCGGCATAGAATGTGAGAGGCAGTCATACTTTTTTGCGAACAAAATTTGTTTGTTTCCATAGATACATCGTGACAACATCATTTAATCGATCACGTTCACAGTTTAGTTTCATACTTGATATTTGGTTGTCAGATGTATACGAGATTTCTATGAATGAAGGAAGCATCCTTTGAAGCATTCTTAACTTTGATGATGTAGCTTGAACTTCAGTGAAGCAATAAAGTAGAAAGTGGAAAAGCATTAAGAAATTTCCTCTTCTTGTAAGAAAAAAATCGTCAATAGGAGTACAGTCTTTAGAGCAGTTAATCACGATAAGCATCAATTCACTTATCGCCATTTCGAAAGTGAGCGTTTTTTGTTTGTTTGGGTTCAATATGCATACCAATACTCTTAATTTTCTTTGAAATCCAGAAAATTCATTTCTAGCTGCTCACTAATGAAAACGACGAAAAGAGTTTCAGCCATGTAACGCTATATCTCCTCTAGTCGGAACGCTCCTGCGAAAGTACTCTGTTGAGAACTTGAAAACAAAAGCATCACCCTATCCAAACCATTAATTCTGCCAAATGTAGAGGAAGGAATAAGTTTTTCATAAGAGACAAAATAATAAGCACCCAATTAATGGCGAAAAACAGTTACATTCATCCATTCAAACAAAATTTTCTTCAGTAATTTATATGCAAATATCTTATCTAAATTTGCAAATTTGTCAGGATCTTCTTCATTTAGATGACCTAATTGAACGCATGGCTTTGCTATTTGCTTATTTGTGCAATCAATCTACCTAGGATAGCTTGCATGTCTTTGAGTTTGCTTTGTGCACAATTGTTTGTTTGTCGAAAACTCTGCTCAAGAAAAGAAATTGTTTTACATGGCTGCTCCTCAAATGCGACAACTCTCAACAAGTATTCAAAAGTGTAGGTTGAATCCGTGGTATGTGTCATTAACATGCCGAACGTTCTCTGTTCAGAAAGAAATGCTACCTTTTTCGAGTAATTAATCATATCTTCAACTACGCAAAGTAGGGTGGGTTTTTTTCTCCAAGATAGGCAGAGAAAGGTCAGGGCAAAAAAATGGTGGGTTTTTAGGCTTGTTCTTAGCGTCGTGAGACGTGTCACGAACGTTTGGCCCAAGTGGGGTGCCTTTGCACCGTGGGCTCGAGCTTATGTCTAAACGAGAATAGTTCTTTTTTATAATAGCGTATCTTCCTAGATGATGACATATGGCGTTTTTTCCTACCGAATTAATTTTTTTACAATCGGATATTTAAAAGAAGGTTTTACTTTTCTGATAAGCAGTGAAGGTTCTTCACAAAGCCTGTTCCATGGTGAAATAAACAAGGGACCAGAACTTTATCCTGTTACATGTTTCTCCTAGTCATCATACAAAATCAAAAAAAGAGGTTTGATTTTTGTCAAAAATTATCTTCATGCATTACATTATTTAATCTGGGATTCTTGTTTTGTGATGTGTTGATGCATTGTTCCCAACTGTTCGTATCGAAAGCACATTCTCTCATTTATTTGGTCATTTCGTACAGATATGACAGTACTGTGAAAAATCGATGACGTCGCTAATTCGGCAAAGTCGGCGGAAAACGCAAAGTCGCCGACTTCGCTGACATCGACGAGAATTCTCCCATTCCAAAGTCATAATTGTTTGACTGCATGTACGATGCAATTCAAATTTCCGCCCAGATGGATCACTCAATGTGCTGTGATTTGGAGAATATAGAGATTTTGCAAACCAAAAAATTTCGATTCTGCCAATTTTTGAGATTCGCACCCCAATACTGAACCCCAAGGCTCCACACCCACCTTCTAATGCTCCGCCCACTCCAAAGACTTCGCCCAATCAACCATGAGCTCCGCCCATTCTCCACTCAACAACCTCAATCTTACCTAGTGGGCACCACCATCTCCCCATCAACCACTTCAAAACTGCTGATCCACAAACCAAAGCCCCGGCCACTCCACTCAAAACACCTTCAAATGCAGCTCCGCCCCTTACCCTCTAGACTCCGCGCACCTCCAATCCGATCGTACAAAATGCGCGAAAAATTGAGCGAAAAATTCGAAAAACTGTAAAATAAGCTCACTTCCAGTGCTTTTATACGGCTAAAACTCCTCCAAACTAGCTCGGCTCACTTTCTGGTCCACAAAGGGGACAAGAAATTGAGAAAATGGGCACAATTGAGAAGGAATTAAGCAAAAATTGCGCTTTTCTAACCCTACTTACCCCCCTTCTAGCCGGTTTTCAGCCTCCAACACGGTCCAGATGGCCGCCGATTATATCACACGTGTTGCGGTAATAAAGAGAGGGGAAAAATAGAGAAAGAGGAAAAATCGCGTGGCTAAAACTAAAAAAACAGTCCGGGAACTTTTATTGATGGGCTCCCTAGAGACTCCACTTTTCCCGAATTATATGTGTTGACATCCTCGAATAAATGAAACATGGTTATCCAGCCCGTCATTCCTACTCTCCACGGAAATAAAGTTCAAAATATACATCATCGCCCTCATATAGCGCCTCCAATGCAGAAGCTATAGGCACGAGCTACCTCTAGAAAAATATAGCTACTAAAACTACATGTTAATGACCATATGACGTTAGCCCAGCCGTTCAACGCAGAGATATAAGAGCGCCAGCTCGCTTTCATTGACAGATTTTTCAAGTTCGGCTGTCAATTACGCACTTTTGGAGATTTGTTCTTCAACAACCTCCTTTCTAAAAATCGTATTTTTAGAGATCTGTCGAATAAAAGCCAACTTCAGCCCCATATCTGTAATATTCGCAGAGTTATTAGCCTTCTAACATGCATGCTCAAGCCCAAAATCGACTCCTCCAACGTTATCCGTTTTCTCTAAAAATCGCGTTGAAACCGCACACATATGCACCGTATTTTTTGTAGCCTCTCACATGCACTTTAAAATAAGCATCGCTCGCATCGGCGAGACTAATAAACCGGTAAAACAATAATTTTCTCTTTCCTGCTACAAGGTGACCGCTACAAATCCTGTGTGAATTTTTTCATCCAAATTTTCATGCTGAAGTAATCTATAGGCTTTTCAACAGTTATGACAATGCCATACAGTTATGACAGTGGGAAAATTCTTGTCGAATTCGGCAAAGTCGGCGAAAAACGCAAAGTCGCCAACTTTGCCGACACCGCTGAGAATTTTCACATTTTAAAGTCATAACTGTAAGTTCGTAAAGTTTCATTCTCGTTCTCATTTCCTTCAAGAGCTGTTCTTGAGGCAAGAGGGGTATGTCATTTGAAAACTTCATTATGAACTTATCAATTTCGACGGAAAGCTGGCCTACTTCGATAATAATAAAGGGAGAAGGATTCGGCGTCTTCAAAACCCTCTGCGGGCATGCGCCGAACGCACTCACTTCATAGTCGAAAAGTCAATTGTATGCGTGCGAGCCTAATGTGACTTGCGGGACCAGCCATTTACAAGGTTAAGGCTTTTATCATCCCAGATCTCTGGTACCAATTTACCGGCCCCGGAGAGTAGAGAGCTTGGTTGGCCCTGAGCGGGAATCAAATCTGGGTCCGATCTGGTCATGAACTGAGTCGAACTGTGACCCTGGATATGGCGATGCGACAAGGACTTTGGCGGACTCCACTGCACTTTGGCTCCACTCCGGTGCACTGCAGTGCACCATGGCGCACTCCGCAGAGTGCGGCGGCTTTTTTGACGAATTATAAGCGGTAGTATATTGAAGTCTAAACAGGATGATGGCGAGTATCTGTGAAGACAGTTTTTTTCGTGGAAAACTGAAGATACCTTGTAACTCCGACAAGAGATGGAATCAGGCGCTTAAGATTTTGTTAATAGAAGTTTAAGTTCAGAAAAAAGGATTGTAAACTGTTTTGAACATCAATAAAAAGAAGCATAGTTGCATGATTACTATATTCACCGGCGCTCTTGGATTCCCTTCACTCACTCACTTCTCCTCCTCTTTCTCCTTGTGTCAGCTACATGCTTCAACATGTGCCTCTTATTCCTAACAAAATGGAGCCCTCTCACAAGGAGAGGATACTTAGTCGAAAGCACCAATCCAGATGAGACACATATCGTCTCAAACGCTCAAAACGCTGATTATAAATCTGTAGTTTCTAGCAGCGGAGCGATTTTGTAGAAGGAGTTATGAGAGGTGTTTCCCTTTGAGGTTGAGGCGCCCTCCAGCAGATCTCCCCTTACCCTACTGGTACCAACTGGTAGCAACCGGCTAGTGGTAAGTAATTTGAATGAAGATTACATTAAGGATTATAATACTCGTATTACTTTGATTTTTTAACACTTCCAATTTCAATTAGCATCAATATCATCCGAAATTTCAGGTTTTAGGGCTCTAGAGCCATTTCTATGCTCAAGAATTGCGATAAAGTTGCATGCGAAGGGGATTAAAACCTTGATACTCTCTTTAACAAGCAAGGCACTTATCACTAGGCCACTTGCCACCAGTTGGTACTGCTCTACAGTGCTCATAGATAAGGGGAGACCTGCTGGAGGGCGCTTCAACCCCAAAAGGAAACACCCCTCATAACTCCTTCTACAAAACCGCTCCGCTGCTAAAAGCTACGAAAATTTGGAATCAACGTTTCAAGCGCTAGATGATATATGCCTCATCTGGATTGGTGCTTTCGACTAAGTATCCTCTCCTTGCCAGTGATTAAAGCGAATTTTGACGTGCTTGACCCCTTCTTGAATTCTTGAAAATTCTGATTTACATAACAGCGTAAAATAAAGTATAGTACTGTCCGTACACTTTAATAAGTTTTAAGAACTCCGCACAGTATTCTTGTAATTCCTTGATGCCTTTCTTGCAACTTTCCTCTATTTTCTTAAAAATGGCGATACTTTCACTGATGTACAAAGCAAATGTTATACATAACACACCTTGCTGATAATCTTTTTATCAGGATGCATTTTCTTAAAGTACGAGCACACTTCATAACAGTAAGCTTTAGCAAAGGTAAATGAGTCACTTGATGTAATTGCGGAGATGCTGAGAAGCAGTAGAGTAAGAAGCAGTTTCTTAATTTGAAGCTTCTAGTTCAGGGTCTTTCATAGCAATGCTTTGCCACTTTCCTGAAAGCTTTGCTTAATTAATTTGAACTTCTTGCTTGCTGTAATACTCGGAGAAAAATCTCTCTGTAATGACGGAAGGAACTTGCTAAAGCTATTGTAAAGCTTTTGTAACTACAACAGCTTCCTCAAATGACTATGAAGCATTGAACTTCCCTTTCATACTCTAGTTTTGGAGCGATTTTTGCAAAAGCACATCCTCGCTCCAGATGGATCAGATACACTGCCAGTTCCGAGAGTATATGGTTTTGAAGGAGCGAATTGCAGAAGTCCAATTCAGTTGGCTCATCCGTTTACCTTATTTATGGTGCAGTGTTTCATTTGCCAAAGTCAAAGTTTTAAGCAAGCTTGCATGACAAGCTATCGTAATCGTAACCTCGCGTCCACAATTGGCAAGTGCTGTGTCCCAAAATTTGGTGGAAAGCTTTGATTTCCAATTACAAATATAGGTGTCCCACGACCTTTTACCGCTAGAATTCGAGAAACATACATCAAACTAGGCTAAACATACAAAAAAGTCGTCTTTCATCGGGAATTTTACGCTAAAATTGAAACTTCTTAGAAAGTGTTGCCTGTAAACGTCGAAAAAATCAACCGTAGAATAACATGTGTGGGGGCAGTCCAGCGAGCTTGGAAAAAACGTAAGCATTGATTTTCCCTCCATTTCTAACCATGTAAAAATTTAGCAAACCTAGAACAAATACCCGATGTGGAGAGTACATACCTGAGCGAGTAGCTAGCTTTTAGGATTTTTTGAACGGAGTTACATTTTTTCAACATCTCGGACGTTTAGATCTTCTAAAATTTTGGCTTCGAAATTCATGTAGAGCAGAATTCGAGCAAATATTTGAGTGCTATCTTCTAGAGCATGCATTGCTCTGTCGAATGTTGAGGCAGAACCTATTTAAGAAACAGGAAGAGCATGACTTGCAGAGGGAGAAAGCAAAAACAGTAAAAAATTATAAAAAAAATTATATGGCATTTTGAAATGTTATCAGCCCTATATCTAGTTCACAATTGCGAGAAACTTGCATGCATCTTGTTCTCCTCGTTTAGAAGTCCACCTAAGAGGTGACTGCGTATAAATTATTGTTTTGCTAAACTACTAGCATATATGTTGATTAAGAGAGCCCCTTGCATTCCCTATTAAAACTTTTCGAGCTTACCAGAATCAGAAAGATTTTGGAAGAAAAAACAGCGTTACAACTTTTATCGCCTCAATCTCATTCAATGGTAAAAACCATTTTCGCAATGAAGCATTGTTGCTTTAGCTAAGCAAGATTTTTGGTATGAAGATACTGCCGTCAAAGTAAAAAAACTTGCATCCTGCAGGTTTCTCGCTACCTGCTATCAAACAAACATACGATTTTGATTACAACAAATAAATTACACATAAAACAGCCATTAGAATGCGCGCTGCAGGGGAAATCTGCATTCAAATCATGACCTTGTAGGGTTGAATTGAAGTTTTGATAGCAATTAGAAATTCTATCACCACTTTTTAGTTTATTGTCCACTTGTATTAAATCGAGAAGGAAAAAAAACAGCAGCGATTCGGCAAAGCATCTCTTCTAATACAAGAAAATGCACTGCTATAAAAGACCCACTCAACAAGAAGCTGTTGAATATGAAATTGCTTCCTATCTTTCTGCTTCTCAGCAGCATCTTCGCGTTACCTACGTGTGACGACAAAATCTATAAGAGTTTGTGCGGGTTGTACGGGTACCACATTCCGTTTCTGAAGGTTGACTTTGAGGTATGTTTACTGTACGACATCTTCTTTTATCATTGGTAAAAATACTGCTACTTTCAAGGAAGTAGAGGAAACATGCAAGAGCGTGGAACACGAAAAAGGCGACGAAACCTCAAAAGAACCTTGTGCAGCACTCAAGAAACTTGACAACAAGACCAAGGAAGATGTGAAAAAGGTAAGCAGTATTGTTTTTTTTATTTCGCTTGCAATCTACAGTAACGATTCAAGAAGCTGGAGAAGCTCACATGGATGCAAGCCTGCTTCAAGTTCTGCGAGCACAGGTTTTGTATTTTTCCAATAGTTGAACGTCTCCGTCCAGTTGGACGGATGACGCCGACCGCCTGGCCCGAAAAGACAAGAACTTGAGATTTGATACGCACAACTTATACGCACAACTTTCAAGATAATATGAAAAGTTCAACATGGTAGAGAACACATAAAAAAACAAATTTTTTCAACACACATCGAAACAGTAAGTGCTCTATCGTGAAAAAGGAATACAGAGAAAAAATAAAGCGGCTGGGGGAAAATGGGGTAAGCTGAATATGGACCGAAAATATGGTGGGCAACAATAATTGTGCGAGCGACCGACTGATTTAGCTTGTAATGACTAAGATTTGCAATTCCGGTTTTGTTGATTCTGGACGATAGATGCGAAGAAAAATCGAAATTTTCGATGGAGTTTTGCAATGAATTTTTTTTACTTGCTAGTACATCCTTCGATTGTCAGTACTTTACAAGCAACATTTACAAATTATGAAGCACTTGCTCATCCTAAAACTATCGTTTTCAGAAAAAAGGCGCTGTGTTAAGAGGCAGTTGGTATGAAAGTAAATACTGAGATGGAAAATCGCGGTTTTTTGAGTACTTGTAGCTCTTTCTCAGCGCTGAACTGAGGGAACGAGAAGTTGATATTTACAGCAAGTCCATCCGTCCGCTGACTTCGGGAGTTCCCCCCCCCCTTCCCCCACTCTCAATGCTACCAACATTGTTCTATGCACATTGTTGTTTGTAAAGTTGTGCAAATCGAAATCTTTGGAAATATTAGCATTGTGATTGCCGTGCTTATCTACGCCCACTGATCATTCTTGAGCGAAGAAAATACCTACACGGAAAAGTTATTTTTATACGTTTCTCCGGCGCACCCCTTCCGATCCATCGTGTACCACTTTTGATTCCAGAATTTTTCGGGGGGCAGAAGGACAAGAAAAAACTGATAAAGTCCATAAAAAAGTCTCAGCTTATCAAGTATCATTATCATTGTGCTAAAATAAATACATCGCGAATCTAAAGGACAAAAATGTATCATTCATTCACAAGATAGACACAACGTTTTTGTACAAATTTGCGATTTGAGTATCTATTTGATGAAATTGCGAAGTCTTGTATCGGGAAGACAGAATAATCAGAAGTTTATGATTACAAAATAAAACACACACATAAACTACAAGGTGTCCCAAAAAGATGTGCACACTGTTCAACCGCTAATAATTCTCTCTTTGATGTCTTTCGCCGAGCTTGAGGCATCATTCTGTAGAGCGAGGATCAACTTAGTTTTACAGCATGGAGCAAATCAAATCCTTTTCCATTACTGTAGGATTACGATATATGCTTTCAGCATACAGCGAAACAGTGGGGAAGGCTTTTAAGAAAAGAAATTTCAAAAGAATTTGGAAATTCTTGTAGCAATATTTTCAGGCATGCTGCTTTCACTGCCAGCTTTTCGAGCTCTTTCAATGGTGTAACAGTGTAAAGAATAACATTGGAAAAACACTTGTTACTCTAAACGTAAAATAACTTGTGAAAGAAATCTGCTCAACCAGTCCAGTGCAAGAGTTTCTGACTTGTCTGGTTTTCTTTCTGAGGCAAAAATCGCTTTCAATTCTTGAAAATCCTTTTCGATGTTTCTACCGTAATTCTACAATAATAAAGAGTGATTGATATTTTACCCCATACTGTAAATCTAAGTTCAACCTCTCCCTACAGATTGTTGCCTCAAGCTCGACGAAAGACATGAAAGCAAGAGAGTTATTGAAAATCAAACAGTGTACAGATCTTTTTGGGACACCTGTACAATGCATTATGAAGGTGTCGTTTATATGGGTGAAATAATCATCTGTCCTCTGCATCTGCTGACCGACATCCCAAAGAAAATTACAAAAGAATCTAAATAATTTTTCAATCGAAACTGAGAAATGCTTGAATGCCTGAGATAGAACGTCTCTGAGACAGTACAGTCTCCACTATCATTTAAAAGTTAAATACATAGTTTTCAGCATAACTATGTATTTAAGGTTACTTCACACTATTCAAAGTCCCTTGAATATAGGGAGACGCTCAGCAGATGAAGACGGAAGGTACATTGCAACAGTAGCATGTGCATTTTAACGCTTCTTCTTCTTCTTCTTCTTAGAACTACCGTTGCTCTTCTTTCTTCTCTTGCTCTTGCTTCTCCTTTTCCTTTTCTTGGTATCTGAAACGTAAAAATAATAGGTGAGTTATACAGTTTCACTTTCAGAATTGAAAATTGCCTATACGAATACAGAAGAGGTATATGGTGGGATGCGTTGGCTTTTGTGCTGCGCTAAGCTGCATACCTCGTGTTTTCCTTGGAACTGTAGGAATCGGTTGAGTCGGCGGTTTGGCAGGAGGAACAGGTGCAGCAGGCGGTGGAGCAGGATTTTCAGCACTCGCTGTAGGACTCGTTGTAGGACTCGTTGTAGTAGTCGTTGTGATAGTCGTAGTCGTTTTTCCAGTTTCCGTTGTTCTATTGCTACAATTTCTCTGACACTCTTCTTTGGTTAAAAAATTATTCTTATTTCCGTTGCAGCCTCCATAGACGAACTGTTCGCATTCTCTACTTGTCTGATTGTACCACCATCTAAACAAAAAATTTTGATTAGCACGGGAAAATGGGGCAGATAAATGCTTAAGCATCTATAATGCATTCACGATATACTCTCAAAAGGCACCGCCCACCCTAAGCTAGAGATTGTGAGCTTTGACAACTTATGATCGTAAGACCCCTATCAAGCCGATGACCAAACCGCTGCGCAAAATGTCGCTTCAGACGCGAGGAATTTGCTCCGGAATAACGAAGGCGCACGAGGAGCCCCAAACGGCACCGCCCTCCCCAGCCACGCCCGCCCATCCATGCGCGTCCAGCCAATCACCTTCTTGAAAGCCGGCCTGCGGGCTGTCCGGAACAGAGATTGTCGGGGTTTCCGTGAATTCTCAACACCCATCAAATTCAGCGACATGAGAAGGCCTCGAAACGACCAAAACATGGAAGCTGAGAATCTGGGTGGAAGGTGCCTTCAAGCAAAACAGCGCTTTGAAAAGCTGTTTTGGTCTGACTTTCAACAACTGCAATAATCTCACGATAGTCTGAGCTTTATGAATTTATGTAACATACTGCCATTGTACATCTAGAGTCACTAAAATTCTACCTGGGAAAAGCTGCTCTGCATCGACCCACTTCTTTCAACTTCGAGCATATTTCGTCGCTATTTTCCGAAGCTGCATGAACGTAAATACCTAAAGGAGAATTTCTACGGTTCTATCTTGATACAAATGCTGCAGTTTTACCTGCCGTAATGAATATGATCAGTATCAAAATATCATTCATTGCAGGATCATCGACGGTACATATGTTTCAGATCTAAACACGGTAGACCACTATAAGATTTGTGCAAGATTGAGCTAAATTGCCGAAATAAGTTACAATTATGATTCGTTTGAAAGATTGGGTACTTTCCGTTATCCGGACCCATTTTTGAAAATGTTCCCACAATATGTACTTTAGCTTAGAAATTTTGTACCATAGATCCTATGGGGACTGTCACCCTCACTTGTTAGAATAAGAATTAACATGTTAGGCTCAGTTCGACATGCTTTTTTTCGAAATCACTTGCGATGAGGTACGAAAGCAAAGAAACGACTCAAAAGCTGTTTAGCGGTTTTTTATGAAGGCAAAACTATTTCAAACACTTAATGGAACATTTTGGTCGTTTTCAGCAATGATTCGAAGCTATCACTATCTTTAAATTTACTCCATGCGAATTTAACCGAGAAATAATATTAATGATTTTTTGAAGTACCTGGCTGCCGCTTGGCACGCCACTTACGTGATGGAACAGTAGACCATATCACAGTTGTGGGCTAGTTTAATTTATTTACTGAACACAGTATGTTATTCTTAGAATGTTGATATTCATTTCTGAGAGTGTTGAACAAAAGGGGGCAATATTACAATTATTACAGATTGAAATTGCATTGGTATGTACGCTAAACAGAAATCTTATCAAATCTGTTAAACATGTAGATAACATGTCAAATTCTTTGACACATAGCAGAAGGATGGCACTCATTTTACTCTGATGTTATGGCCAAAATTGGTGCAAGAAAAGAATCAAATTTTTTTGAAAATATGGGCCCGGATAATGGAGAAACGTACCGAAGATTGTTAAGGATCACGCAAAGAGCATGATCCGCAAATTCGCTTAATTGTAATGCTTTCTGAATTACTGGCAAATAAAAATCTGTCACTTAGAGGATGATGTGTGATGTGGATGAAAAGCAAGCAGTCTTACAATTTGATTTAAATGCTATACATTCTGTATGACGCACATTGAGTACTTGTGCACTTCGGGTCAAATTCAACTACATGCTAAGTAATATCACAATTTTCCTCACGCTCGGAAACAGCGTAAAAGCGCGAAATATCAGCAAATGTACTCCGAACACAACAAAAAAAGTATCAAACTCAAGCGGAATAGTACATCCCCTCGTATTGCATTTTATAGATTTTTCACACGTCATCAAACAAATTCGAGTATGTTTTTTGCTACAATTTTTTCACAAAAGTTGCAGAGCTGTGTACAGATGAATAACTCAATTTTAAGCAAAAACGCCCAGTGAATACATCAAGGGGATGTTCCATAAGATAAAGTTTTATGTACTTTCTAATATCTTCAAGGTATGTGTTGTATAATAATATTTCAATCAATTTCTAAACAGCACAATTTCCTTATTGAATATCAAGCCGTTTCTTCCCACTCGTGTTGGAAAGACGCCAAGTCTTGCAGAAGAACAAGCTTTCGGTGGGGTACTGCTCTTTCTCTCTTATAGCTAACTTTTAAAAAAAATCTTGATTAACGTCAGAACACACAACGATTTGCAATATGTATACCTTGTTTTTGCCTCAAGTTACATCGAGCGGAAGCAGCAGGTAGACGAAGCAGAACCTACGCTTTGTGGGGCATTTTTTTTGCAATTTAGGGTTTTATGAAATTAGTAACGCTTTTCATTTT